CGAGCCCATATGAGGCACCGATTGTAGTGGTAAAAAAGAAGTCAGGGGAGATAAGACTGTGTTGTGATTACCGGAAATTGAACAATATCACAAGAAGGGATGCATTCCCCTTGCCTCGTATTGATGAATGTCTTGATGCGTTGGGGGGAGCAAGATTTTTTTCTACCTTGGATTTGGCCAGTGGCTACCACCAAGTGGCCATGCACCCCAACGATCAACATAAAACTGCATTTATTTCTCCACTGGGACTGTACGAGTGGACCCGTATGCCGTTTGGTCTAACTAATGCACCTGCTACATTCCAGCGAGTAATGCAGAGTGCTATGAGTGACTTTCTATTTCAAATAATGTTGGTGTATTTGGATGATATTCTAGTTTACTCAAAAACTTGGGAGGACCATCTAAAAAGATTAGAACAAGTGTTTCTCCGTCTTAGGGAGATAGGAGTAAAGCTGAACCCAGACAAATGCTGCTTTGGTTTGAAATCGGTACATTTTTTGGGTTACGTGATTTCGTCGGATGGCATCGCCACTGACCCAGATAAAATTGCAGCTGTTAAAGAATGGAAACAACCAACAACTACGGTAGAGGTCAGGTCATTCTTGGGCTTTGCTTCCTATTATAGAAAATTTGTGCCGGGTTTTGCAAAAATTGCCGCACCATTGCATGACTTGGTAAACAAAATGACAAAGAAACACAGTAAGGAGAAAAAGAAAGGTAAAACACACCTGATAGGTGAACTATGGACTGATGAATGCCTGAACTCGTTTAAGCTCTTGAAAAAGGCTTTGACAGAGGCGCCGATATTGGGATACGCGGACTTTGACAAACCATTTCGGTTAGAAATTGACGCCAGCTCTAAAGGCCTGGGAGCTGTGCTATCACAACAACAAAAGCAAGGTTTCAGGGTTATTGCGTATGCCAGTCGAGCTCTGAAGGAATCAGAGAAGAACATGACAAATTACAGCGCCATGAAACTAGAACTTTTGACATTAAAATGGGCTGTGACGGAAAAATTCAGGGACTATTTATTAGGTGCTAAATGTGTGGTATACACTGACAATAACCCCTTGAGTCACCTAAAGACAGCAAAGTTGGGATCCATCGAACAGCGATGGGCAGCAGAATTGGCACTCTTTGACCTAGAGATAAAGTATCGCCCGGGGCGGTCCAATGGCAATGCGGACGCCTTATCAAGGAATCCTTACGAGAGACCGGGTGATGAGGAAGAAACACTGACAGGAATATGTGAGGTCAGAACGTCAACAGATATCCCTCATGGGGTACAAGTGATGCAAAACGGGCAGACCGGGGTGGAGCACATATCCACGGAACCCGAACATATGGACAGTAGTGATTTTAATTGCCTTAATCACCAAAAGATAAGAGATGCCCAGAGAACGGATAGTGGCTTACAACCGCTATTGAAACACGTCCAGGAACAAAAATTCCCAGGAAGGAGGGAAAGAGAACAATTTGGTCGAGAAACAAAGAAAATACTGAGTCAGTGGAACCGTCTCAGTATAAAGGATGGTGTTCTCATGCGGAGAATTCATGACCAAATTGATGGCACAATACACCAGGTGGTGGTGCCGGGACAATTACGAGGAGAAGTGCTAAGGTTGGCACATGACAGGGCAGGACACCAGGGTCAGGACAGAACCCACAAAATATTACGACGGAGGTGTTACTGGCCCAATATGGAAATGGAGGTCAAACGCCATTGTGAGGCTTGTGTGAGGTGTCAGCATGCGAAAATGCCAGTTGTCAAAATGAGACAGCCATCAGGACACCTACTAGCGACAAAACCACTAGAGATTGTGGCTATGGACTTTACGTCGTTGGAGCAATCATCGGATGGGACGGAACATGTGTTGGTAATGACTGATGTATTCACCAAATGGACTGTGGCGGTGCCCACACGAGATCAGACTGCCAAAACAGTGGCAAAGGTCTTATTACAACATTGGTTCATCAAATATGGCATACCAAGACAATTACACTCTGACCAAGGAAGGGCCTTTGAGTCAGAAGTAATTAACCAACTGTGCAACCACTACGGGATCAACAAATCTAGAACAACCACATTTAATCCGAAAGGAAACGGACAGTGTGAACGGTTCAACCGCAGCATGCATGATTTGCTGCGTACGCTAGAACCTGAACAGAAAAAACGTTGGCCTGATTTTCTCCCAGAGTTGGTATATCTATACAACTGCACACCACATGCCACAACCGGCTTTTCGCCATACATGTTGCTGTTCGGACGAGAGGCTCGACTCCCTCTTGATTTGTTCCTAGGAAAAAGGGAGAGTATGACTGGCTCATACACCGCACTGGAATATGTGAATGAACATATGAGAAGAATTAGAGAAATGTACAGGGTAGTACAGGAAAGACTAGAACATGAATCTCGGCGAAGGGAACCGCCGATACAGACGAAGGACCCGCCACTCAAACTGAATGACAGGGTATTACTGCGTAGCCACCCGTTAGGCAGAAACAAAATCCACGATCTCTGGGGACAGGAGATATGGCAAGTCGTGGAGATGCCTAAAGTAGCAGGTGGCCCCTTTAAGATAAGACCCATCGATCACGCCAAACCGGATCGGTGGGCGAATATTGCTCAATTAAAGAAATATTGGAATAGGCAAGAAGAGCAGTTACACACAGAGAAACCCAAGACAATTAGGGAACCGGAAGTTATAACGGAAATTCACATACCCATTCCGGAACCATATCACCATCAACAGAACAACAGCGATACGCAAGGGGAGGATACCGGCAACAATGAGGATCCCGGTCCCTCCAGAAGCAGAGAGACAGTAGACCATCAGATAAGTGGTCCGCGGAGAAGTTTAAGGAACAGAAGGAATACGAAATTTTTTGTCAGCAACCATCAATTCTTTCATGGTCGCGCTGGTATGAAAACAGACTGTTCAAAGAGCTATAGAAGTGAACTGGTGAAGGCACCAAATGGAAAGGGTGGATGTGAATTCTAGAACTGTTTTGTGTCTCAGAAAGATGATGTAGACACAGTTGATATGTGAAATAGGTATAACTGTCAATCGTATACGAATGGAACGTCGTGGACAGTGAGTGGAACAATAGATTTTTTTTACGACTGTGCGATTGACTTTGGAGGAGTGCACCTGCCAGGCGTTGTTTGTGGTTGAAAACACACAAAAAAAGCAGGGGTGGATGTAACTGGGGTAGGCCTAACTACCAGTTACAAATGATAACGAACGAGAAGCCGAGACGCAGTGTTGGTCTGATGCAACCGATAACAGGTGGCTTATTGGGTCGGGCTGATAACAACCTCAAAGCCAACGCGTGCTATTTTGGGAAACGGTATTCAGACGGCCTGTCAACTTTGATGGATAGGATGCAGATGTTATTTTACGGTCTGTACGTTTGAACTACGCAACTGGTGGTCGGAGATCGAGTACAAGTATCGATTACGGAGGAATACAAGTACGGAGACGAGTACGGATACAAGGCATAAATAGGAGGGGACGGCAGGACTCGTTCTCTCTCTTCCCGTTTCAGCGAGCTCTCTCTTCCCGTTTCAGCGAGCTCTCTTCCATCTTCATCGCTCGCTTAGATCAGTCAGTCTGTGTGACTATGTCAAGTCGGTTATAGAACGGGTTAGCCGTATTGTGTTAAGGAGGATTATAGACATGTGGATTCAGTTATATAAAGCCTAGTGAAGGACTGTTAGGGGTCAGTTGATTCAGACTATTATTGAGAAGCATTCCTGTTGATTTATTGTGTTATTATGAAGCATTTCTTGATTCATGTAATAAAGGATCAATAGCGAACCTGCATCTTGAGTATCTATACTGTGGTCAATGTTGTCTAGAATGAGTGGTTAAACTCGTTAACACGTGGCACTACAGGCAATTAGGTCTCATTACATGTGGCGTTGCGAGCATGGTAACTGTTGGCTCGTTACAATTGGCGTTGTCGGCAGGATAAATGTTCGCTCGTCACATATATATATATATATATATATATATATATATATATATATATATATATACAATATATATATATATATATATATATATATATATATATATATATATATATATATATATATATATATATATATATATATATATATATATATATATATATGTATGTATACATAAATGACTCTGCATCAGTCAATAGTAATAAACTATATTCGTTTTCAGTTCCAATTTAAGATGATGTAATTACCAAGTTATTATTGATTTTTTAACTTTTAAACCTTTTTACGATCAGTCACATTTGTTATTAAATATATATTTTTTAGCGCAATTTCCATTCTGGAGAATTGCGTTTATTAACCCGTCATTTCTGGATGTATGAATGGATGGATGGATGTGTGTCCGCAGCTTTAAGTCGTATCTCCTCCTCAACTAAGCAATATCGAGGACTAGTTCCAAAAGCAATTATGTTAAGCAAGTTACGAGGATGAACATAGGCTATAAAAAATCCGGGTTTCTTTCATGGATTTCCCAGAAAAGCCAAAAAACCTTTAAAAAAGCAGTTTTTGGCCCATATCTCGGCAACCAGACCACTTAGCGACTTGAAACATGTACCAATCGATTCCTGCCATAATTTAGAACAATATTGCCGTAGAAAGTTTTCAAAAATATCCTTTCGTTCGGTCACAAATTTATTTTTTGAATTAATTAAAATTTGGACCGAATTAGTAGGCATTTTTTCCAACCACACCACACGCGTCATCACGTTCAATAGCTGCGCCATCACGTTCAATGGCTGCGTCATCACGTTCAGTAGCTAGGCGCGCAATGGTTTTTAGTCATGTAACTCTATTGCAAATAAAACTCTAGCTACTGTAATACATAACTTTAGCTACTGTATAACTCTAGCTAATGTAATACATAACTCTAGCTACTGTAATACATAACTCTAGCTACTGTAATACATAACTCTAGCTACTGTAATACATAACTATCACCACTGCCTGTAACTTAACACAATCATCGATGAGAAATCAATCCCAGAGTTCACCCGCCCAGCAGGACAGAGGTGGGTCATGAAGACGATAGAAGCTCCGTGTCGTGCCAGGGACTTTGAGGCTCTGAACTTCACGCGTCTTAGAGGTTTGTTTGTTGGTTCTAAACATTGCATGTCTTACAGGTGGGTTGGTTAGCTCTTATTGGAGGGTTTGTTAGCCCTAAACTTCTCATGTCTTTAAAGGTGGGTTTGTTAGCCCTAAACTTCACATGTCTTTAAACGTTGGTTTGTTGGCCTTAAATCTTATTCTTTATTAAGACGAGTTCTTAGGTCAATCATAAAGTTAATGTTTGGTAATTTTGACGAAGCACTTCTTAATTTTTTAGCAATAGTTTAATGTGAACTTGGAATAAAAGCTACTTTGGTCCTTTTGGTTAAATATAATTAAAGAGCACAGAAGTTAATTTATACGAAAACATATTTGTGAACATCAAATTCAACAGTTGTCTTTACTCTGCCAGTTGATTATTCCGCTGTGAATATTAAATGGGAATGAGACCCTGTTTCTTGTACAAAAAATGTTTTAGATTATTGAGTATCGACATTTACAGCAATCTCAGTTTACAGAATAAATACTGTTGTCATGTAGTAATGAACAATAACATTTTTTTAACTAACACTATTTTGATACGAGAATTAGGACCTCTGTTATTTTATCTAAACTAGGTCAGTTTAACTGGACCATGACCTTCCGTCTAGACTCAGACATCCCCCAGCTTTACGGGACGCTCGAAAGACTTTACGCCGTCCCCAAGAAAAACTACGACCAAATTTACTCGTCTAAAACCTTCCAGGCTGCCTGGTTCGTCAGCCATTGCTACGCTCAAAGTATGCGGGGTATGTACGTAGAACGGATGAGATCAGTTCTTGACGTCCACATCTTTGGCGAATGTGGAGACGGCAACCATACTTGCCAGGAGGGAACTAACAGACGTCATGCAGACAGTGACGTCTGCCTGCCCATGCTTTCCCGCTCTTATTTTTTCTACCTGGCTTTCGAGAATTCGATATGTAAAGATTACGTAACGGAGAAATTTTTCAAACTTTTCTACGACGTTGACGTCATACCGGTCGTCCGAGGCGGAGCAGACTACAAAAGTTTTTTCCCGCCCAAAACTTTTGTTGACGCGGCGGACTTTGATACACCGGAAGAGTTGGCCGAATATTTGCGGAAGTTGTCGCAAAACAAACAGCTGTACCTGCAGATGCTGGAAGAAAAAAACAAATACCGGACAGTGCCGGAGGTGCCGTGGACGTGCAACTTGTGCCGGAAGATGATGCAAGACTCCAGTGTACAGTGGTATCCGGATATCTGGAGTTGGTACGTGCAAGACCAGTGCCACAATCCTAGGACAATGTAATTGTTCAAACAATAATCAAATTCTTAACGTGTAGTGTAACCTTAGAATAGCATGAATCAACGCAATTTTACAAAAATACAATACATAACTAACCGTATTCAGTTGATGTGAAAACTGACAGATCAAGTCTAATGCATTACCCGTTTTAATAGCCTGAATATTAAATCTAAACTAAGAAATAAAGTTGTAAAGATGTGTTGCAAAAAAAAGGCTTTATTCAGTTATAGGCCTATATGAAATAAGAAATGCAATTACATCTAATAATAAATGTTAAATAAAATTTCATAAAGATATGAAATGAAAAAAAAGAAGCATTAAGTTCAAATTGAAATGAATAAACCGGGAGTGATCTCCCCTAAACTTTCTCGAATATTCTTATATAAAATAACAGGGGATGGGAACTCGGGCTATAGACATGATTTTTAATCCATTTTAAATACTTAAAGTTTTAAAAATAGAATAAAATCTCGTAGACAAATTAATTGCACACCAAGTGAACGCGAAATAAAAAAGCGCATAATAGTGCGCAATATTATTATTACTTTTAAAATTTACATTAGTTTTTTGAGAAATCGGAAGTAGCGTAAAGTACTACTTCCAGTCAACGGAAATGACTCAAAATTTAATAGAAGGTAGAGAATTAGATCTTTTAGTTACGTATGAAATTTCATTTATCTATCTGAAATAGTACTCAAGTTATAGGCTTTTGAAAAATTCAAAGTAGGAAAAGTACCACTTCCGGTTATCGGAAATCGCTCAAAAGTTGATACGGATCTACGATTTTGATTAAATACTTATATATGAAATTTCATCAACCTAGCTGTAACGGTACTCAAGTTATCGTGTTTACACACGGACACACACACACACACACACACACACACACACACAGACACACAGACATACGGACAAGATTGCAAAATTATGTTTTTCCGTATCAGTGAGATGCAAAACGTCGAGATTTGCAAAAATCTCGATTTTTTTTTTTTGCACGATTACAAGACTTTCTCTATACTTCGTATATACGAGAAAGTAAAAAAGAGAATTAAGCAATCATCAGGGTTAAAATTTTATTTAGTTAAAGTTACATACAGTTCAAATTTAATATGACTAAAAGAAATTTAAAGAACAATCATTCATCATTAAAAATCGTATTATATTTGTAAAAAGGAATTTAGTTGTTTTTACTTTCTCGTATATACGAAGTATAGAGAAAGTCTTGTAATCGTGCAAAAAAAAAAATCGAGATTTTTACAAATCTCGACGTTTTGCATCTCACTGATACGGAAAAACATAATTTTGCAATCTTGTCCGTATGTCTGTGTGTCTGTGTGTGTGTGTGTGTGTCCGTGTGTAAACACGATAACTTGAGTACCGTTACAGCTAGGTTGATGAAATTTCATATATAAGTATTTAATCAAAATCGTAGATCCGTATCAACTTTTGAGCGATTTCCGATAACCGGAAGTGGTACTTTTCCTACTTTGAATTTTTCAAAAGCCTATAACTTGAGTACTATTTCAGATAGATAAATGAAATTTCATACGTAAGTAAAAGATCTAATTCTCTACCTTCTATTAAATTTTGAGTCATTTCCGTTGACTGGAAGTAGTACTTTACGCTACTTCCGATTTCTCAAAAAACTAATGTAAATTTTAAAAGTAATAATAATATTGCGCACTATTATGCGCTTTTTTATTTCGCGTTCACTTGGTGTGCAATTAATTTGTCTACGAGATTTTATTCTATTTTTAAAACTTTAAGTATTTAAAATGGATTAAAAATCATGTCTATAGCCCGAGTTCCCATCCCCTGTTATTTTATATAAGAATATTCGAGAAAGTTTAGGGGAGATCACTCCCGGTTTATTTTTCCAGAAGATTGAAAAAGATTAATGTAAATGTATTGACTTCATTAATAATTAAAATAAAACGCAATAACTGTAAAGAAATAATACAAGAGCAGAGTTTCGAAGTTTCAAAAGACAAATACATATATAAATTAAAACTAAAATGTGTAATACAATTAATCAACAACTAAGTAACAAAACAATTATCCATATCTACTTTAATTCAGTATAAAAATTTTAACCTAAAAGCCCGAATTATTAAGCAAAGTCAAACATAACCTTATGGTTGTACATCCAAGCCAAGATATAAACAGCAAAATACTAAATCTAGTAATATAATATATAATGTTATCCACTAGGTAATGTGTCAGTCCTTCCTTCCTTTGAATGTCTTCGTTTTTACAGCAGGGAGAATATAACCTTTTTTCATATAAATCTCGTAATTTTATTGTTGACCGTTAATCAACTTTTAACGCTAAATTACCATGTAACTATTCAATGCCCATTGGACAGCGCGTTAAACAGAGACCAAAAACTGCAGTAACTTGCTTGGATTACATTGACTTATTGCAACTTAGGAATTGTGGTCTATCACGTACTGCCTTAGTTTATTTAAGTAGTCGGCATAGTTTCCATCTGTTCGCATATTTGACAAAAACACAAAGAAAATATTGTCTACTTCCACATTGTTAATAACAAGCGTTATACAGCTCAGTGTCAGATAATATACTCTCCTAAACTGGTGGAGCAAAAGTGATAAATGTTAATAATGGTAGAGTTAATACAATTAATTCATTAATTTTTTATGATAGGGGAGGTAGTTTAAAGGGAAATTATGATACCATATTTTTCTATTTTAGCTTATATTTATTAACCTTCATATTTTTCTTTAACTTCCGCATTGGTTATCATGACAAGGGTCTTAATAAAAAATAGATTAAAGGTCGAGATTATTTTTTTTCCCGATAAGTCGGTGGAGAGTTTTATGGTAATTATTAATTTTATCTGATAGACCAATTACTTTTTGTTTTCAAACAAATACTGCCGATTTTACTATTAGTTCAAAAGACGGTTAAATTAGATTTAATTGTATGAATATACTTAACCAATTTAAAAGCTGCTAATATTTTAATTCCTGTCAATTGTTCGCTCAGGGTGTGATGGCTAAATTAGATATAAGAGAGAGTTATGGTTTTTATGGTAATATCATAAAAAGCACATAACAGATACAGCAGTTTGTAGAATACAGTAATGTAAGAGGCTTTGTTTATATCGATATTGGTTTTAATGACGGAGTTAGTGTATAATTAAAAGCGTTAAATGCGGTATTAATTATCATAATACGGTGTTGTTTGCAGATTTGCATAATGCTGTTTAATGCACGTATTGATAAACAAGAAAATTTTAAGGAGTGGAACATGTAGGCGTGGGGGTTTGGTATACTCCGTGGGTTTGATGAATGTGTGCTTTGGGATAATGAGAAATGGTGTTAGATGAATGACTGAGTGTGAATCTTGGAGTAAGTGGATTTCGTGTTACTTGAGGATTGGGTATGGGGTGGTGTGGATAGGAGAATGGGATGTGGGGCGGGATGGTTCTTGGGTTTTGTTCGGAGTGCTGTTTAGATGTCTTGAGGGTTGTGTGTAGAAAGTTATGGGGTGGGTGGGGGTGTGTGGTTGTGGTGTATTGGGAATGATGCGGATTATATAAATAGTGGGGAGAGGTGTGGGTTGTGCTATTTGAGGTAGAAGGATGTGGGTCGTGGACTGTGGATTTTAATGAACATTGTTATGTGTAGTGTTTTTTTATGGATCGGGGTGTGCAATGTTGTGGTTCAGGATGTTGGTTAGAGTACACCGGGTGTGGTGGCGAGTGAACAGGGGTATTATGGGGTTTACTTAGGGGTGTCGATCATGGTGTCGGGCTGTGTGAGGTGGTGTGCGTTAAGGAGTGGAGCGAGGTGGTGTGGGTTTTGATCTTTTCTGTCCTCCTAAAGTACATTGCAAAGTTTCACACGGTGGTGGAGCACAGGTATGCAGCTCGTGTATATATAATTTTTCAATGTCTAATACTAACTATCTAACATATTTTTTATATAGCGTAGAAAAAACACAATAATTAATATTTTAATTACTCCCAAACCAATGTATTTACTCGTTTGAGGTTTCCCATAACTAAAATAACCATGAGTATGCTTAGTACAATGAAAAGTAGACTACGCAACACAGCACTGTCCAAACAATACTACCAAGCGTTCTAAGATAGGATTCAAATTTTTTTTTTATTAAAAACATAATTGTTTATTAAAAAGCTAAAAATAACAGAAACAACAAACCAATTTCAAAACTTTTGAATTAAAATACTTCTTAAAAGTATCTTGAAAATATATACACTGTGTAAGGAAACATAAATGAATTTAGATGTTTTCAACAAGCAACTCATCTCTGACATTCATGAAAGCACAATTCATTTGATTCAAATTTGTATGTCCATGAACAGGAACAAATTCTGTTTCGAAATATTCGTCTCCTCCTCGATTGTTATAAAGGACAACTTGTTGGCCATTATCTGTAAAAATAAAGCACTTACTGTCGTAAAATTTTGCTCCATAAAATGGGATTGATTTAAAATGTTGCCAAACAACAATCAATTTTTTGTACTTTAATAGACCATCTTCTTCATAGAATTTGTAAGTTTGTCCATTGCCATCTAAATAGTCGCTTTTGGCGCTTAGCAGCACTGTGGAACATTGTTGTTCATAATAATTATTTTCCTGTGTGCTTGTCTTGAAGGCTCTTTCTAACTTTAAAAATATCTTTCGGGCTTTCGATTTCAGTACTATCCAAGGTTTTTTTATAATCATGCAATAAAAAATGTCATCCGTTTCATCTAAAGGAAATTCTTCAAGCTTTGTCCATTGACGTATATTATTCTCAATGTTGAACCTGGATACAATTAATGTCTTTTCAAGCAATTCAAGTTTATAAATGAAATTATAAGCCATAAAGAACCGACACTTGTTTAAAGAGACGCCAGTTGTATTAATTTGTACCGATTGCTGTGGTCCAGTTACTTTCCATGTATGTATCTCCTCGTTTTCTTTTACAGTATAGTAAAGAACATTATCATACACATAAAAATTGTGTATCAC